GGGCACTCACTGTATGTCTGATGCTTTCAGGGGTGTGACTGCATTTCATGCTGAGAAGCAACCTCAGGAAGTGGACATTTGCATTCTTATTTTATAGGCAAAGATGCTGCCGCTCAGAGAGATGAACTGACTTGCCCAGTGCCTTAAGCTAGTTGTCAGGGAGGCTAGAATTCGAGCCTAAATCTGCCTCTAGATCGCACAGATACTTGGTGGGGGTTGAGGGGGGAGGACATCCTGTGTCTACATCAAAGAACTGGCATAGCTTTGGGTAGTGTGGGCCTCAAAAAAGAGTGGGTGGACCTGGGGTTGCTATGTCCAGCAGTAGGGATGGGTGGGGGGCAGGGTCCCTCCCTGCTGGGTGACCAGCTGCCATATGACAGGGGTGGTGTGTTTGACAGGAAATATGACATTCACTAGTTAGGAACAGCATGCTCTCCTGCTCAGGCTTTGGAGAACACAGCCATGTGGTAGGGAGCAGAACTCTGGACTTGAATTAATAGTCCTGACTTTGAAGCCCCTATCTGGCTGTGTGATCTTGGGAAAGTAACTTCCCCCTATGCAAAAGGGAGGGTGCAGTGGTAAATGGTACCTGGGGGCCATTCTGGTTTTGTCCTTGTGGTTCTCAGTCACACACGGCCACTGCACATTTAGCAAGAGCCACATGTCACAAAGCCCTCACAACAACTGCTCAGAAGGTACAGATGCAACAACTGAGACTCACAGGCTTCTGTCAAAGATCCAAGGTCACAAGCCTACTGAAGAATGGAGCTGGGGAAAGCCACAGGGCAGATGCTGAAGTGGGGAGCACTGTGGTCCAGATTGGACCTCAGTTTGATGCCTGTAACCTGATTTTGACCATGATGGGAATCTCAGAGCCAACTCCGGTCAACCAGATGTTCAAGAGACATATTCATAAACAGACCTAAGTCCTTACAGAGCCCAGAATGACGATTTGGCCACTCTCTGAGCTACCGCCTTTCTGGTGTTAGCAGGCAGCAAAGTTCAATGCCGAGAAAACAGAGACCTGGCTTCAGATTCAGTGACTGCCTGAGCAAATCTGGACAGAGATAGCGCTCTCTCTCTTTCCCCACCCCCAGCGCCCTGCCCGCGGTATCAGGGATTTAGAGCATGAGACACAGGACTCAGAACACTAGGTGCTCCTGAGGAGACACGTTATTACAGGGGTGTCCAATCTTTTGGCTTCCCTGGGCCACATTGGAGGAAGAATTGTCTTGAGCCACACATAAAATACTCTAACACTAATGATAGCTGATGAGCTTTAAAAATTTGCAAAAAAAAAAAAACTCATAATTTTTTATTGTTGTTGAGATGGAGTCCTGCTCTGTTGCCAGGCTGGAGTGCACTGGTGCGATCTCGGCTCACTGCAACCTCCGCCTTCTGGGTTCAAGCAATTCTTCTGCCTCGGCCTCCCAAGTAGCTGGGATTACAGGGGAGCACCACCACGCCTGGCTAATTTTCGTATTTTAGTACAGACGGGTTTTCACCATGTTGGTCAGGCTGGTCTCGAACTCCTGACCTTGCAATCTGCCTGCCTTGGCCTCCCAAAGTGCTGGAATTACAGGCATGAGCCACCACGCTGAGCCATAAAAAAAATCTCATAATGTTTTAGGAAAGTTTACAAATTTATGTTGGGCAGCATTCAAAGCCATCCTGGGCCACATACGGCCCGCGGGCCATGGGTTGGACAAGCTTGCATTATTGCTTCTACTAGGACTGCAGAATGGACCAGAGCTTACAGTGGTTTTTGGCAACAAATTGCTCAGCATTGCATTTTAATATCCTTTACTCACAATGTAATCTTGGGCAAGTTACTTGACATCTCTGTGCCTCAGTTTCTTCATCTGTAAAATAAGGGTAGTAATAAACCCACCTCATAGGTTCACCAAATGAGGTCATGCCTGAGAACTACTTGGCAAGATGCTAGTCACTGTATAACTCTTGAAGAAATTAGCACATTTTTACTGCCACCCGGATTTCTAGGAAGTCAAATTTCTCTCCAAAGAATTGGTGCCACATAGGGATCAGAGCAAGGGGAGGAAGAAGAGTCCTAGGGCTATTTTCATGCAGATGCCTGAGCACAGAGAACCCAATCTGCTCTCCCTCCATCTTTTTCCCTCCTCGTCTCTTTAGCTCTCTCTCTTGCTCTTCGTCTCTGCCTCTCTCCGGTTCTGTCTCTTTCGGTCTCTCGGTTACTCTTTCTCCTTAATTCTCATTTCTGCCTCTGTGTCTTTGTCTCTGTTTCTTTCTGGCAGTGTGTGCTGGAGCCGGCGAGTTACTGGCGCAGGGGAGTTGATTCTGTGCCTCTCATGGTGGGAATATTCACGCCATGGAAATCAGAAAAACGCGACAAATCAGGGCTTTTGGTTTTTTTGAGAGTCAGTTTACCAGCACACTACACTGTGTTTCTGTCTCTGTCTTTTCCTTCTGTCTCTCTTTCTTTCTGGCTGTCTCTGGCTCTTTCTCTTTATCTCTCTGTATCTCTCAAACTCTATCTCTCTCTCTGTCTCCCCCTGCCTCTTCTTTTTCTGTCTTTCCCCATCTCTTTTCTTCCTCTGACAATACAGCATGAACATGGCTACGTGCAGTGTGGTCCCTCACTGCCTTGGGCCATGCAGATGCCATACCCTGTGCCCTACATCCCCTGACCCCTCAGCATACTGGTCCCCAGAGAGCTAGGCCTGGCCAGGGCTTTGGTCTGCATGGAGTCTGGTAGCAATTAAGACCCGAGAGCTGCCTACCTCTGCCTACTGACCACACTGTCAGCCCTACCAGGGCTCTTCCTGAGCCCACAGAGCTTTCAGCCTCCTTCTCAGAAGCTGAGAGTCTCTCCCTTCCGCCATGGTGGGCATGCAGAATTCAGGGATCCCCTTGGGCTGATATAGATATGTTGTGACAATATATACTAGATTATTACTGGAAGTGGCAACATTGTATCTGTGTGTGAATATGAGAGCTTGCCTAAGTTTGTGTTCTATAAAGGAGAGTTCTATGTGGGTCTGTGTCTCGGGGAGGGCTGTGTATATCTGTGTGTGTGTGTGTGTGTGTGTGTGTGTGTGTGTGTGTTTCCCTACATGGCAGTGGGGGGACGGTGCGGGGGTGTCTGCATTTGTGCATGCTAGCAGGAATGGCTGCAGCTGTCTGTATTTGTGACAGGCAATGGAGAGAAGTGCTTGAAAGCTCAGATTCTGGAGCCAAACACCGGGATACAACATGTCTGTGGCCTTGGGCAGGTTTTTCTTTTCTTTTCTCTTCTCTCCTTTTCTTTCCTTTTTTGAGACAGAAAAAGAAATGTTTTTTCTGCTACACTGGCTGGAGTGCAGTGGCACGATCACAGCTCACTGCAGTCTTTACCTCCTGGGCTTAAGTGGTCCTCCTGCCTCAGCCTCCTGACTGAGGCATGTGCCACCATGCCCAGCTAATTTTTTTTTTTCAGACAGAGCCTCACTGTTACCCAGGCTGGAGTTCAGTGACAGGTGAAAGCCACTGTGCCTGGCCAATTTTTGTATTTTTCATAGAGATGGGATTTTGCCATATTGCCCAGGCTGGGCTCAAATTCCTGGCAATCCTCTTGCCTTGGCCTCCCAAAGTTCTGGGATTACAGGCATGAGCCACTGTGCTTGGCCAACTCTGGGCAAGTTTCCAAACTTCTCTGTGCCTCAGTTGCCTCACCAATAGCAATAATACTTAGGCCAGGCACCTGTAATCCCAACACTTTGGGAGGCCGAGGCAGGTGGATCATCTGAGTTCAGGAGTTCAAAACCAGCCTGGCCAACATGGTAAAAACTCATCTCTACCAAAAATACAGAAATTAGTCAGACGTAGTGGTGGGTGCCTGTAATCCCAGCTACTCACGAGGCTGAGGCAGGAGAATGGCTTGAACCTGAGAGGCAGAGGTTGCAGTGAGCCAAGATCATGCTGCTGTACTCCAGCCTGGGTGACAAGAGCAGAACTCTGTCTCAAAATAAATAAATAAAACCAATAATAATAACAATACTTAGGGCTGAGCGCGGTGGCTCAAGCCTGTAATCCCAGCACTTTGGGAGGCCGAGGCGGGTGGATCACGAGGTCAAGAGATCGAGACCATCCTGGTCAACATGGTGAAACCCCGTCTCTACTAAAAATACAAAAAAAAAAAAAAAATTAGCTGGGCATGGTGGTGCGTGCCTGTAATCCCAGCTACTCAGGAGGCTGAGGCAAGAGAATTGCCTGAACCCAGGAGGCGGAGGTTGCGGTGAGCCGAGATCGCGCCATTGCACTCCAGCCTGGGTAACAAGAGCGAAACTCCGTCTCGGAAGAAAAAAAAAAACAAAAATAACAATACTTAAATCATATAGTCATGTGGATAAAATGAGATAATATAGACAAAATGTTTAATGCAGTGGCCAGCACATAGTAAATGCTATAAATTCTGTATTTGCTATTCTTGTATAGAGAGGGTGTGTGTGTGTGTGTGTGTGTGTGTGTGCATGAACGCACGCGAGAGTGCATGTGCATGGGCATCTATGTGCAGATGGATGCAGGCTGGAGGTGTGTGTATATGGGATGTGTGTACTCTTAAAGATGTGTGTGCTAAGAGTCTATGCAGAGGAGCCTGGCTCCTGTGCGTGAGTCAGCAAGGTGACGTGCTGTCTGAGGGGTCTCAAGGGCTGTTCGGATCTGGGTACCAGCACTGTGCACCATTTGAGGTGTGTGTGTGTCTTCCTGTGAGAAGGCTTCATTCTCACCCTTGGTTTTTCGGTTTTCTTTTTAAAATAGAGACAGGGTCTTATTCCGTCTCCCAGGCTGGGGTGCAGCTGTGCAATCACAGCTCCCACAGCCTCAAAGTCCTAGGCTTGAGCAATCCTCCTACCTCAACCTCCCTAGTACCTGGAACTACAGGTGGGTGCCATCAGGACCAGCTAATTAAGAAAAAAAAATTTTTTTTGTAGAGATGGGGTCTCCCCATGTTGCTCAGGTTGATCTCAAGCTCCTAGGCTCAAGCAACCCTCCTGCCTCGGCCTCCCAAAGTCCTGGGATAGCAGGTGTAAGCCGCTGTGCCTGGCCTCACCCTTGTTTTTGTATCAGCCCCATCTCTCCTGTCACCAGTTCCTGAAATCCCTCCCGCTGGGCTCTGGCTGGCCTCGAGTCCTCCCCTTCTGTTTTCTGCCCTGGCTCTAACTAGCCCTGTAGCATCTTGGGGCCTTTTGGACACAGTGGTTTCATCCCAGGGAGGGGTCCCAGGGCAGAGGTCTCAGGCAGGGTCCAGTGAACAGGGGCTATTTTAGGGCAGGCTTCTCACCACAGCCCGCCCCACAGTTCACCACGTGGGTGTCATGCCCCCACCCCCACCCAACACACACATGAGAGCACACTTACAGCAAAGGGTGAGGGGGCAGGTGGGGCTAGGGTGGAGACCAAAGCATTGATGTGACGGAACCATCAGCCAGGCAACTGGACCTGGTGGATCCAGGAAGACTTCCTGGAAGAGGTAAGTGGTGCTAGGTAGGAAGGACAGGACCCAGAGAGAAGAGGAAGAGGGTATCTGTAAGGGTAAGTGGACTGGGGGTTGAGAGAGAGAAGCTGAGGGCCCCTCTAGGGTAAATCAGGGTTCACTGCGTTGGCCCCACCCTGCAACTCTCCATTCTTGTCATGTCTTAGGAAACCACGCCATCTCGCCAGTCAGTTCCTCTCTGAGTGTTGCAATGGCAGAGTTTCTGGCAGGATGTGGGGGACCCTTGCTCAATGACCTCCTGCCTTGTCGCTCAGAGGATACAGCTGCCAGAAAAGGCATGGCTCATTGTGGGGCTTCCCAAGGGACTCTGGTGGCCCCTGCTGCTGACCTGGGCCTTTTCTTGGTATGGGGATAGGAGGAGAGCTCCAGAGGCAGGTACCCACTGTCACTCGGCCACCACATGGAACCCTAGGGTGGCTGGGAGCACAGGCAGCTTCAGAGGAAGAACTGGTTTTTGGGAGAAGGTGACTGCGGACTGTGAGGGAGCTGAGCATGGCTTGATAGAAATCCTGTTAGAGAGATGAGTATAATGCACAAAATTATGCATGTCCAAGTGTGTTCATCTGTTGACCTGGCAGGCACCACATGTATCTGTGCATGTGTGTGCGTGCGCGTGTGTATATGTGTGTGCTATTGTGAGCTTGGGCTTGTTAGAGCCCGTATTGGCGTATGATGGTGTTGGCAGGCACACTCATGCAAATACATGCTGTGAGTGTTGCTGCATGACTGTGCTGGTGTGTCAGGTGAGTGTGAGTGTGTGAGAGAGAGCTGGCATGGGTGGTGTGCCCTATGGGACGGTGGTTGTGTAAGTGTGCCAGGGGTGACAGGAAGGAAAGTGAAGGCAGAAGTCATGCTGGGGCAGAGCCCAGGCCTTCTGGCTTCCTGAGGAGGGCAGGAGCTGGGCAGCTGCACAGGAACACTGGCAGAGCCTTCATCTTCCTTGTCCTTCCGTCTCGCCCTCAGGTCTCTGGCCCCTCCCAAGGATCATGTTGCAGCCCCACTGACCCAGGAGTAGGGGCCTAAGGGGTGAGTGGGGTGGACTGAGGGCTTTCAGGGTCAGGAAACAGGGTGGGGGTGGCCTTCCTGAACCCCACAACTCCTCACAGCCCCCTCCTCCTACAAGGACCCTGTTGCTAGGTAACGAATGGGGGAGCCAGAATGAGGCAGCTTGAGAGGCTGGAGGCTGGACCCGCAACAGGAAATGGCCTTGATCCCCCTCTGCAGGGACTCTCCAGGTGCAGACACACAGCCTCACACACACTCACACACAAACATGCGCAGATAGACACACACACAGGGATACACACGCTCAGAGACAGGCACGCTGCTCCCACACAGAGCTACATGCACATTCATAGACACACAGACACAAAGACACCCACTCACACAGACAGGCACACACACACTCGCACAGAAACACGTACACACGAACATGGTCTTACAGACATACACACATGCAGCCAAACACATGCACAGAGACTTTTACCCACTCTCATATACACACAAACCTGCACACACAGACACACAGACATCCACAAAGAACTGCACACGCACACATACCCACGCAGGCAAACTCACCCATACTTAGAGACATACAAAGACACACATGTACAAGCACACTGAGTCACAGAAACACAACATATCAAACAAAGCAGCAGGACCCAATCTGAGCAATATAGCAAAATCTTGTCTCTACTAAAAATCAAACAAATTAGCCAGGGGTGGTGGCATGTGCCTGTAGTCCCAGCTTCTGGGGAGGCTGAGGCCAGAGGAACACTCGAGCCCAGGGGATCCAGCCTGCAGCGAGCTATGAGAGTGCCACTGCACTCCAGCCTGGGCAATAGAGTGAGATCTTGTCTCAAAAAAAAAAAAAAAAAAAAAAAAGAAAGAAAGCAATAGGAGACAGAAATATATAAATAAGCACAGCAATATCCTAATGTAGAGCGCCAGCCCTAGAGATATAGACATGAACTAATGGAAAGAGAAGCACTGAGGGGGCGCATACTTCGGGGCAGACTCAACCGTACTGTAGGTGGCCCAACTCCTCCTTCATCCCTTACAGGGAGGGCCCCAATCTAGGCCCAAGAAGGAAAGCCACGTGCCTGTATGAGTGTATGAGCGTGTGCATGCACATGTGTGCACAGGGTGGTGCACCTGGCAGGGGCCTCTGAGCGAGGCATGCCTCATTCTGTATCAGGAACTTGGAATGGGCTGTGTGTTCTGCAAGAAATTGGAGCCGACGGCCACTGCCAAGGAGGATGCTGGCCTGGAAGGGGACTTCAGGAGCTACGGGGCAGCAGACCACTATGGGCCTGACCCCACTAAGGCCCGGCCCACATCCTCCTTTGCCCACATCCCCAACTACAGCAACTTCTCCCCTCAGGTCACCAACCCTGCCTTCCTTGATAGTGGCACCTTCAGGGGCGTGTCAGGTGAGTCCAGGGGGCTGGAGGCAGGTACTGCCTGGATCCTGGGAGAAACTGAGGGAAGAAGAGGAGACGCGGAATTGCCCTTAGGAACCTCCAGTAGGATGTGGCAGATACAACCCCACTTGCAAGATCACACAGGCTGAGGGCGTCTGTATAGCTCTGCTCCCAGGCTGAGAGGGGCAGGACCCGGGTGACAGATGCAAGTGACAAAGAGAAACTTCTTGCCCTCTTAGTTGCCACTGGGATCCCAGATGGGAAGTCTTGGTGGGGAAGAGGAGGACTGGGCAACATGGGGACCCTCCATGGTGGGAGGAATGGGCTTGAAGCTGTGTGTCCTGAGCTGCAGAGACCAAATCAGGAATTCCTTGGACTCCAAAGGCCTTTGGGAATCGGGGCACTGAAGCAGTGGGGAGGTGCAGCGCCTGGCTGGGGAACGGGAATCTGAGGGTGCAGACCCCTTGGTGCTTTTGCCCCATGCCCTACCCTGCTGAGTAGCCCTGACTTTGCAGGGATTGGGGTGACCCTGTTCATTGCCCTATATGACTATGAGGCTCGAACTGAGAAGGACCTCACCTTCACCAAGGGAGAGAAGTTCCACATCCTGAACAATACGTAAGTGACCAGGCCACCTAGTCAGAACAGTGCCTAGGGTGGGAGCAGGACCCAAACAGGAATCCCACCTGGTCCCTAACCTCAGAATGCTCCAGCCTAGTTGGGAACACATATACATAACAATAAAAACCCTGGGTGACTGCTATTGTGTGGGAGAGCATGAGAAACTATGAGCAGAGAAAGAACACCAAACATGGTCCCCAGAATAGTACTGAACAGGGCAGGCTTCCTGGAGGAGGTGATTTTTAAGCTGAGACTATAAAAATGAATAGTGAGCCAGGTGCAGTGGCTCACGCTTGTGGCTCACGTGGTGGTGTGTGCCTGTAATCCCAGCTACTCGGGAGGCTGAGGCAGGAGAATCACTTGAACCTGGAAGGTGGAGGTTGCAGTGAGCTGAGATCTCGCCACTACACTGCAGCCTGGGCAATGGAGTGAGACTCCATCTCAAAAAATAATGATATATATAGTAAAAATGAATAGACAATGAAGGAAGAGGTGAGAAAAGAGGAAGAAATCGAGAGAGAATGAAAATAAATGATGACTTCTGAAAACCACCAAGTGGTTCCCTTTAGGTGGTTCACAAAATATGGGATGCAGAATGGGAATGAACAGAGGCTAGAGAGGTAGGCAGGGGCAGATTCTGCCAGGCTTTTTTTTTTTTTGCTTTTTTTTTTTTTGAGCTGGAGTTTTGCTCTGTCTCCCAGGCTGAGTGCAGTGGTGCAATCTCAGCTCAGCTCACTGCAACCCCCTCCTCCCAGTTCAAGTGATCCTGGGACTATAGGCAGGAGCTGCCATGCCTGGCTTATTTTTTGTATTTTTAGTAAAGACAGGGTTTCACCATGTTGGCCAGGCTGGTCTCAAATTCCTGACCTGCCTCAGCCTCCCAGAGTGCTGGGATTACAGGCATGAGCCACCCAGGCTCTTTAAGCCACATTGAGAAGCCTAGATTATATCCAGAAGTAAGTCTACAGCCATTTTCAGTGGGTCACTGAATGGGAAACCTGTAGCCATTTTCAGTGACCTAGTCAGCTGTCCACTGTATTCCCAACCCCCAGCCCAGCCCAGCTGAAGAGCCCAAGAAAGAAGCTAGGAGCCCCAAATACCCCTGAACGTATTCCTTCTGCAGGGAAAAGCCCTCCCAGGGCAGCTGCAGTGTCTGGGGCAGAGCAGACAAAAAGCCCCAGTAGTGGGGGTGTCCAAGATGAGGGGTTGGCGGGACCCATCTCTGCAGATCTGTGTGGCTCCGCCTGGCCCCAGGGTGCCTCGGGGACTGGGGGTGCTGCTGACCAGCCCTGTTCTGTGCCTACAGTGAAGGTGACTGGTGGGAGGCTCGGTCCCTCAGCTCTGGACGAACTGGCTACATTCCCAGCAACTATGTGGCCCCTGTTGACTCCATCCAGGCTGAAGAGTAAGTGGGGATCGGGGCAAGACCAGCCCTATGGGAAGGACCCTGGAGTCCAGACTCCACGACCACCTCTTGGACAAGTCACTGCTCCACTCTGAGCCTGTCTCCTTATCTAATAATTTTGGAAGGTCTTTGTGAGAACAAAAGAAGATAGTAATGATAACGATGATAGTAGGTAACACTTATATAGCATGTACTGTGTTCTGGGCAGTATTCAAAGTACTGTCTGTGTAGTAACAGGGTTAGAAACTATTATTATCCTATTTTACAAATGAGGACGTTGAGACACAGAGAATGTAAGTGTCCTGTGCAAGTTCACATGGCTAGTGAGTGGTGGAGCTGGTGTATGAGCCCAGATAGCTGGGCTGCATTTGCTAAGTATTATACATATTACCTCTCAGTAAAAACAACAGTGTATGAACTTTAAAAAATTGCAAAGTGCTGGCCAGTCACGGCAGCTCCTGCCTGTAAGCCCAGCACTTTGGGAGGCCGAGGCGGGCGGATCACGAGGTCAGGAGTTGAAGACCAGCCTGGCTAATATGGTGAAACCCCATCTGTACTAAAAATACAAAAATTAGCCAGGCGTGGTGGCACACACCTGTAGTCCCAGCTACTTGAGAGGCTGAGGCAGGAGAATCACTTGAACCTGGGAGGCAGAGGTTGCAGTGAGCCAAGATCATACCACTGCACTCCAGCCTGGGTGACAGAGCAAGACTCCGTCTCAGAAAAAAAAAAATTGTTAAGTGCTGAACAAGTACAAGGCAGCATTACCAGAAATTAATTCTATTAAGGAGGCAGGGATTTTTATTTTATTTTATTTCTTCCTTCCTTCCCTCCCTTCCTCCCTCCCCCCAGCTCTCTCTCTCTCTTCCTTCCTTCCTTCCTTTTTTTTTTTCTTGAGACTGGGTCTCACTGTCACCCAGGGTAGAGTGTAGTAGAGTGGTACAATCACAGCTCACTGCAGCCTTGATCTCTCTGGCTCAGATGATTCTCTCACCATGCCCAGCTAATTTTTGTGTTTTTAGTAGAGAGGGGGTTTCACCATATTGCTGAGGCCGGTCTTGAACTCCTGAGCTCAGGTGATCCATCCACCTTGGCCTCTCAAAGTGCTAGGATTACAGGCATGAGCCACTGGGGCCTGGCCCAAGAGTCAATAATTTATTATTCATCGAATACCTTTATATACTTGAGATACTACAGCAGGTATTTACCTGCCTTGGTTCATTTAACTCTCACAATAGCACTCTTGATATTATTAGTTTTTTAAGAGACAGGGTAATGCTCTGTTGCCCAAGCTGGGGTACAGCGACATGACTTTAGCTCACTACAGCCTCAAATTTCTAAGCCTCCCTTCTCAGCCTCCTGAGTAGCTGGGACTACTGATATGTGCCACCATGCCTGGCTAATTTTTATATTTTTTATAGAAACCGAATTTTGCTATGTTGCTCAGGCTGGTCTCAAACTCCTGAGCTCAAGCCATCCTCCCACCTTGGCCTCCCAAAGCGCTGGGATTATAGGCATGAGTCACTATGCCTGGGCTTGATATTATTATTTTTAAACAGAGTCTCAGGGCCGGGCGTGATGGCCCACGCCTGTAATCCAAGCACTTTGGAGGCCAAGGCAGGCGGATCACCTGAGGTCGGGAGTTCAAGACCAGCCTGACCAACATGGTGAAACCCCATATTTAAAAAAAACAGTCTCGCTCTGTTGTCCAGGCTGGAGGGCAGTGGTGCGATCTCGGCTCACTGCAACCTCCAGCTCCTGAGTTCAAGCAATTCTCCTGCCTCAGCCTCCCAAGTATCTGGGACTACAGATACATGCCACCACACCCAGCTAATTTTTGTAATTTTAGTAGAGACAGGGTTTCGCCATGTTGACCAGGCTGGTCTCAAACTTCTGACCTCAAGTGATCTTCCTGCTTAGCCTCTGGAAGTGCTAGGATTACAGGCATGAGCCACCACATCTGGCCCTTTGATATAATTTTTGTCCCCATTTTACAGATGAGGAAACAGAGGCTCATAAAAGCTTTTAAAAATCTATCCTCACAAATGTCATACATATATGAGAAAAGAAGGGATTGAAAAGACTTTGCAGAGTGAGAATCTAGGACTCAGTGACTGATTTGGGTGATGGGGAGTGAAAGGAATTGAGGGTGACTCAGTCTCCTTAAGGAGCTGGGTGGATGATGGTGCCATTTGCTAAGGTGGGGAACACAGGAGCAGGTATAGGTTCATGGGTTCTGGGGGGTACTTGCCGGATTATGGTTTATGGAGAGGAACATCCAGGTGAAGAAGGCTGCCAGCAATTCGATTAGGTTGTGCTTTGTATGGCAGGCAACCAGCCCATGCCAATCCATGCCCCTGAATCAGCCTAGAGGAAGGGGCACCTTTTCCAAATTGGCACTAAGACTCCTCAGTTTGTTTTCTGTGGCCCTTGCAGAGGGCACAATGGGTTAGGGCAGAAATTTGGGACTCATGAGAGTAAAGATAATCATTAAAGCTATATAGGAGGGGGCAGGTACAGGGACACATCCCTGTAATCCCAGCACTTTGGGAGGCTGAGGTGGTTGGATCACCTGAGGTCAGGAGTTCAAGACCAGCCTGGCCAAAATGGTGAAACCCCATCTCTACCAAAAATACAAAAATTAGCCAGGCATGGTGGCGGGCACCGTAGTCACAGCTACTGGGAAGGCTGAGGCAGGAGAATCACTTGAACCTAGGAGGTGGAGGTTGCAGTGAGCCAAGATTACCCCACTGCACTCCAGCCTGGGCACAGAGTGAGACTCCATCTCAAAAAAAATTTTTTTAATTTAAAAAATTGTTTAAAAAAAGCTATCTGAGAGGGTTCAGGAAGAGAGCGAAGAGTGAAAAAGATTGTCCCTAGGACCCCACTTTGGGGAAAGCTGCCCTCGAAGAAGAAGGAGCCTCTGGAGAAGTGAGGAAATCCAGGCCAGGCCAAGTCAGAGCAGCTGGGAGAGCAGAGAACCTTCAGGAAACAAGAGAGGGCGTGTCAGAGGCTGCTACAGGATTTGGCAGTGGGGGTGACCTTGGTGAGAGATTTCCCTGTGTGAGAGTGGGAGGCGGAGGCCAGACAGCAGAGCCTGGGAGGGAGTGGGAGGTGAGGAAGTGGAGACCCAAGTGTGAAGCGCTTTTTGAAGTGAAGGGAAGGCGAGAAGTTGCAGCAGAATGTTGATGGCAAGATGAAACTTAGAATAGTTTCCTTTGGGGAAGGGAGAAATGTGGGCATGTTTGGAGGTTGTTGGAATGGAGAGGCTGCAGGTGGAGGCTGCTGGCAAGGGGTGGGTATCACTGAGCAGAAGTGGGTGGGCGAGCTTCAGAGCTCAGGTGGGGTGAGGCCCAAGTCTGGGGAGTGGCAGGAAGCATGAGGGAGAGGAGGGACAATGATGCAGAGGACAGGGGGTTTGTGGAGGGCTTCATGCTTGTGTCCACGTCTTAGAGCCAGTGTCACCACGCGCTGAGAGCTGCTCAGTGCAGTGCTGTGGTTAAGGTTAGTGTGGTTAAGAGCACAGGCCCAAGAGCAGACAGCCTAGGTTCCTGTTCTAGCAACTGAAGCCTAGACTGTCTAATGGGGGTGAATAATAGTAGCTATCTCACAACGTTGTTAGGAGAATTAAGTGAATACATGCATGTATTAAGGCAGAGCCTAACACGAAATATGTGCTGTTATTATTATATTGATTATTAAGGAAGTAGCAATGTCATATGTGTGGGAGTGGGCAGAGCTTTGAAAAAACTTGACAATGTGTCCTGTCTACACTGTCCTTCAACAGTTCCTCCACCCCCCTCCTGCCTGCCCTCCTGGGCACACCACTTGCCAGTGCCTTGCACTGTCTCCTGAACTGTGTCTAGTACCCGGGGCGAACTGACATTCCCAGGGTCCACTGAGACTTCCACTGCCCTTGATTGGAAAACATGAGGCTCGGCCAGGCGAGGTGGCTCATGCCTGTAATCCTGGCACTTTGGGAGGCTGAGGCGGGCGGATCATGAGGTCAAGAGATCCAGACCATCCTGGCCAGCGTGGTGAAACCCCATCTCTACTAAAAATGCAAAAATTAGTTGGGCATGATGGCACGTGCCTGTAGTCCCAGCTACTTAGGAGACTGAGGCAGGAGAATCACTTGAACCCAGGAAGGGGAGGTTGCAGTGAGCCGAGATTGTGCCACTGCACTCCATCCCCCGTGACAAAGCGAGACTCCATCTCAAAAAAAAATAAAAAGAAAAAGAAAAGAAAAAGGAAAACTCAAGCCTCCTTTAATTCAACCCAAGATAGCCACAGGTCAGTTTCGTGATCAGCTGAGTCTTCTATGGCACCTGTGGTCACTTCAGCTCCCCCAGTGTACCTACACAGTTGCTACAGGCCAATCCAGAAAGAATCCCCAAGGGAGAGGAGTGATTGAGGCCTGAGGTTGAAGTTTAGACATAGGACAACATATAAGTCTAAGAGAGTGCAGGAAGAGCAGCAGCTGGGACAGGAGCAGCCAGAGAGAAGAGAGGCAGGAGACCGTGTTGCTCTGGAGGCCAAAGGAGGAAAGGGTTTGGAGGTGGGTGTGGGGGAAGGATCTGAGTAATTTGATGACTGGAGTGGTGAAAAAGGCACTAGGGTGAGTGGCAGAGGATTTTAGATAGAGCTCATTAGCCAGCCTGTGGACAGGTCACTTCCCCTCTCTGAGCCTCAACTTCCTCATCTGTAGAATTAGTGCACAGAGGGGCTACAGTGAGATGAACTGAGGGTCGATGGCACTCTGATGCCTGGGATTGTAGCCATTTTAATTCAAGAGAAACCCAACAAGAAGAGACCCTAACCTTTGCTGGGCACCTACTGTGTGCCAGTCACTTTACATTCCCCTTCTCTGTGATCCTCCCAGACAGGCTGTGAGCAGGTGTACCAGCCCCATTTTACACATGGAGTCTTGACTTGCGAGGTGACTGCGCAGGAGGCTGAGGTGAGGTTTGAGCACAGAATACCAGACTCTTGCCTGCCTTTCCCAACAGGTGGTACTTTGGAAAGATTGGGAGAAAGGATGCAGAGAGGCAGCTGCTCTCGTCAGGCAACCCCCAGGGGGCCTTTCTCGTTCGGGAGAGTGAGACCACCAAAGGTAGGGGTGGTGCCACGCACCAAGGCCACTGGGAGCCCCAGCCATTGGGGTAGGGCTTGGAGCAGTAGGGTGGTTGGGTCAGGGGGCCAAGACTAGGACCAGGCCCTAGGGATGCTGCTGTCGGGCCTCTCCCAGCTCCCAGATTAGGGGAGAGGAGAACAGAAGCTCCAAAGTGATCCTTCTCCACAGGTGCCTACTCCCTGTCCATCCGGGACTGGGATCAGACCAGAGGCGATCACGTGAAGCATTACAAGATCCGCAAGCTAGACACAGGTGGCTACTACATCACCACGAGGGTTCAGTTCGACTCGGTGCAGGAGCTGGTGCAGCACTACATGGGTGAGGGCAGGCGCCTCAGATCCCTGAACCAACCCACTGAAGCGCTGTCCAGATGGGGAGACTGAGGCCCAGAGAAGAGAAGGGTCTACCAAGCAATATTGCCCAGACCGAAACTAGAACCCAAGTATGGGGTCTCCCAGCCCAGGATCCAGCTCTGTGAGCTTCTGGAGGAAAGCAGTCCATGACCAAGCAGCATGCCCTAATGACTGGACAGGCATTGGCCAGTTTCTTGCCTCAAGGCCTCAATTTGTGGAAACTTGATGGAGGGTTTGTGCCATCTGAATGCCCCACCAAGGCACCAGGGCTGCCCTGTGGGCAGACAGAGAGCCATCATCACAGGGCCCTGAGCAGGGGGGTAGAGAGGCTGGTCAGCACTTTGCCTGCTGGTAGAGCTTGGATGCCAGGGGACAAGGCAGAATGAGGGGTTCATTAGAAGGCAGTGGCCATTGTCCAGGTGAGAGGTGATGGAGGCTAGACTCAATCAGTGACAGTGGAGTAAAGAGGAAGCAGACAATTCTGAAGCGGGGTAGGAGGTAGAATAGGCCTGACCTGGTGGAGAGTTGGCTGTGGGGGTGAAGGGAAGGTGGGAGTCAATGCCCGTTTCTGCCTTGACTGGTTATGCCAAGGATGATGCCATGGAAGACCATGGGCCTCCTGTCCACACCTTGGCCTGGAATCCGCAACCCCATTTCCCCCTGTGAGAATCCCATCTTATCCTTCAAAGCCCAGCTAGAGACCACTTCCTATAGGAAGGCCCCTAGTCCTTACAGAAGGCTTACAGGGATCATCTCTCCCTCTGGGTGCCACCTCCTTCCTTGGGCACCAACATGTTCCCCTATTCAGTGGGCCGGGTTGCCTTTCTTCCTGGCCTGTAACCTCACTTGAGGCCTAGTTCCTTATAACCGATCCTGGGGTCTGGCACCAGGCTGGGGTAGGATGAGAAGTGGAAGGGGATGTCCTGGCCAGCCTGTGACTACTCCATGACGCCTCCCCCAGAGGTGAATGACGGGCTGTGCTACCTGCTGACTTCGCCCTGCACCATCATGAAGCCGCAGACGCTGGGCCTGGCCAAGGACGCCTGGGAGATAAGCCGCAGCTCCATCACGCTGGAGCGCCAGCTGGGCACCGGCTGCTTCGGGGATGTGTGGCTGGGTACGGAGCTCCCGGGGGCCGGGGCGAGGGCCTGGGCTCGGGGGAGAGGGTCCTGACACACAGCCTCCGAGCAGGCACGTGGAACGGCAGCACTAAGGTGGCGGTGAAGACGCTGAAGCCGGGCACCATGTCCCCGAAGGCCTTCCTGGAGGAGGCTCAGGTCATGAAGCTGCTGCGGCACGACAAGCTGGTGCAGCTGTACGCCGTGGTGTCGGAGGAGCCCATCTACATCGTGACGGAGTTCATGTGCAACGGTCAGGAGGCGGAGCCCGGGCGGGCGGGATTCGGGGTGAAGTGAAGGTGGGAGTCTCCAGGCGTGAGACCTGGGACGCGATCTGTGAGGGACGAGGGACGATGGGCAGAGTCCCACTAAGGGACTAGGTGTGTAAAACGACAGGAGCCCTGGGGTGGGAGCCGGGCGGGGTGAGACCACGAGGGGTCTGGGGCGGGGGGGCGGTGCCTCCGGTGTTGGGGGTGGGGCTTGGGCTAACGAAGGCAGAATCCGGGATGAGGGAAGGTCTGGGGCGGAGTCTGAGAGGGTCGTGTCGGGGGCACCAAGGAAGAGAAGAAACGAGATGTGGGCAGGGTCTGTGTCTGGCAGCAGGGCCAGGGCGAGACAAGCGAGGGGTTGAGGCACCCGCGAGGTCCTGAGTGCGGGGCGGGTCCAGGTGGGCGGGGCTGGAGGGGCGGGGTCAGGCGAGAGGAGGCGGGGCTGGGGCCCGGGGTAGGGCCTTGCAGCTGATGTTAAGGCTTCCTCTTCCCAGGCAGCTTGCTGGATTTCCTCAAGAACCCGGAGGGCCAGGATTTGAAGCTGCCCCAGTTGGTGGACATGGCAGCCCAGGTAAACTGGGCCGGTAGCCTTTACTTCCCAGACCTTCCACCTATTAACAGTTCACACATTCTGCGGCCCCGCCCACTGCGTCAGCTGTGCCTAAGTGCTGCCTCTCTCTGGGCCTCAGTCTCCCCCTCTGGAAAGTGGGTTTTTCAAATTGTCCCTTATTCTCACATGGGCCACGGTGCTGTGAGTCCACCTGAGCTCCCATCTCTCCACATCTTGGCCCCCCAGGTGGCTGAGGGAATGGCCTACATGGAACGAATGAACTACATCCACCGCGACCTGAGGGCAGCCAACATCCTGGTGGGGGAGCGGCTGGCATGCAAGGTTGCAGACTTCGGCCTGGCCCGTCTCATCGAGGACGATGAGTACAACCCCCGCCAAGGTGCCCTGCCTCACCCCACCTCCCAAGAGCTCCCCAGGCAACAAGGGGACTTCTATGGGGCCCCACACACTCAGGAACCCTTACTCACCCCAGGTCGCCCGAGACACCTCCAGCCTGATGTAGAATGAGAGGCAATTCTGGGCTCAAATCCCAGGTCATCCACTTACCAGTCATGTGGCCTTGGGCAAGTCACCTAACCTCTGGGAGCTGCCTTTTGTCTTCCGAAAAGTGAAAATACGCAGATAACAGCAAATCAGCAGCAGGTGTTTACCAGGCGCCTGCTGTGTGACAGGCACAGCTATAATTCTTAAATCAAAGACAATAGGGTGTAACAGTGGGAATTCTGCAGCCAGAATGCCTGGGTACGAATCCCAGCCACATACTAACTGTGTAATCTGGGCAAGTTACTTAACTACTCAGTGCCTCCTTTTTCTCCTCTGTAAAATGTCTCTATCTCATGGGGTTTTGTGAGAGTTAAGTGAGTTAATGCATCCATATCACTTAAAACAGTGTCTGGCACACAGGAAAGGCTAGCCAAGTATTGGCTGTTATTAGGATGAGAATTATTGCAATGTTTGGAAAGTGCCCATCACTATACTAGACACATAGTAGGTGTTCTCCTGCCTCAGCCTCCCTAGTAGCTGGGATTACAAGCACCTGCCCACCAAGCCTAGCTAATTTTTGTATTTTTAGTAGAGATGGGGTTTCACCATGTTGGCAGGCTGGTCTCGAACTCCTGACCTCAAGTGATCCGCCTGCCTTGGCCTCCCAAAGTGCTGGGATTACAGACATGAGCCACTGCACCCAGAGCCCATTCTCTTAATCCAGCCGTTTCCAGGGACCCCCCTCACTAAATTTCCCTGCTCCCCCATCCTCTCCAGGGGCCAAGTTCCCCATCAAGTGGACAGCCCCAGAAGCTGCCCTCTTTGGTAAATTCACCATCAAGTCAGACGTGTGGTCCTTCGGGATCCTGCTCACTGAACTCATCAGCAAGGGCCGAGTCCCTTACCCAGGTTTGCCTCGCCAGGGGTGGGGCTGGGGTGGGGGATGCTCATGGGAAAGGGCCCCCTCCTGGCTGTCCCTTTGACTGACGGAGCCCCATCCTTCAGGCATGAGTAAACGGGAAGTGTTGGAACAGGTGGAGCAGGGCTACCACATGCCGTGCCCCCCAGGCTGCCCAGCATCCCTATACGAGGCCATGGAGCAGACCTGGCGTCTGGACCCAGAGCAGAGGCCTACCTTTGAGTACTTACAGTCCTTCCTGGAAGACTACTTCACCTCCACTGAACCACAGTACCAGCCCGGGGATCAGACATAGCCTGCGTGGGCATCAACCACCTCTCTGGCAGTGGCCACCAGTCCTTGCCAATCCCCAGAGTTCTTGTTCCAAAGTCCCCAGGCTGGCTTAGAACCCCATAGAGTCCTACCATGCCAGAGGAGGCGAGGTGCTCTGACACCACTGAGGGCAACTCACTCATTTTACAGATGGGGCAAAAGGAGGCCCAGAGCTGATCCCTCATCCGCTCTGGCCCCGAGCACGATTGTTTCCTTTCCCACTTAGGCCCCTACATGCCTCTAGCCTTTCTCATCCCACCCCCACCCAAGGTGCTCAAGACCTTGTCTAATTATTTATAAAACTGTATGTTCCTCCCCTCACTTCTCTCCTATCACTGCCTTCCTGCTCTCCTTTTATCCCACTCCAGTCCAGGTGCCAAGAATATCCCTCCTACCCTCGATTATCTTGTGTCTGTAAGTTACAAAGTCAGGAAAAGACTTGGCTGGACCCCTTTCCTGCTGGGTGGATGCTGTGGTCCAGGACTGGAGTCTGGGCCCAGGTTTGAGGGAGAGGGTTGCTGAGCCCTTCCCACCTCTCTGAAAAGTGTGTATGCATTGGTTTATTGATTCTGTAACTAAGTAAAATGACAGTATTAATCCTCAAGCCATGAAATACCCTTGCACCTTCCTTTGGGAGGGAGGGTGGTCAATGGGAGGTGAACGGACAGATTTGGCTACAGGCAGGTGAGAGAGGGCCCTCATGCCTACCAAGCATTGGGCATCCAAGGTGTGGAGTTTCAAACACACACGTGAGTTTAGGTTGAGGTGTCAGACAGATACAGAAGACAAGCAACTGAAAATACGTTAAAATGTCCCCGTCATTACTGATGTGGCCTTCAAACTGTATACAATAGGTTTGCTAATTCTTTATCTGAGTTAATCGGATTTCCCATTCATCAGAGGCACAATGGGACAAACTTAGGCCTCCTTTGGCAGGGCGCAAGAAGACCACAGTGGACCCTCTGTAGCTGTCAGCCTCCCCAAAAGAGGACAGAAGAGAGGGGAGGAGAGAGGAGAGACCTGGGGGTTAGTTTAACCCACTGGATCTCACTAGGGGAGTTTTGCCCCCAAGGGAGCTTTGGAGAGGTTTAGAGGCAGTTTGGTTTATTTGGCTCCTACAGGCAGTGATCAGGGATGCTGAACAACCTGCAGTGCACCTGCATGATGATGAATCTTCCCACCCCCTTGCTCCCCCTTAGAGAAACTCTAGAAGCTGACATGCCTCCGTGTGGAAACAAGGGGAGCAGGGAATAAAGATTCCCATCTCTCCCATCAGGAAATGTTTGTTGACCCTCTGACTTACTAAGGGAATGGACAGGGAAGGAGTCTGGGACCTTGGAATCACTGCTGCAATTGGCAAGTAATTACTGAGCGTTGACTCTCCAAAGCATTGACTCTTTGCTAAGGAGGACCCTGGGAACACAAAGACCTTCCCTGAGGAGTTCATAGTTAAGCAGAGGAGGAAAATAGTAATAACAATAATAACTCATTTATTAGGCGTCTTCTGAATGTCAGATGTATTTACAGCCATCTTTTCATTTGAATCCAGTCCTGAACCTGTCCCTGTGATTAGCCCCACTTGTAGATGAGAAAACTGCGGCTCAGGGGTTGCATGATGTACCAAGGGCATACAGCTGTATGTAACACAGCTATGATTTGAAACTAGATCTTACAGCAAAGCCCATGGTATTTTCACTAGACGTCATTGCCTCTAGGCTTTGGGAAGAGAGCATCTGTGGGGTGTATGTATGTGTGTGATCCTTCTTCCTCTAGTTATTGGTAGAAAGATTCCCTGGAAATTCTCCCATGCTGGGTGACCTAAAGGAAAGAAAGATAAGGCGATCAATGCAGATTGAGAATTCCCTGTGCTCAGCCATGTGCTGGAGGTTGCTGAATGAGAGCAATAAGATGGAGATAAGCCAAATGGCTGCTCAGAGGGGTTGTCATGGCGGTGGGAGCTTTAGCTCCACAGAAAAAGTCTCAGGGGACAAGATTTACCAAGGGCCATTGTTTCTGGCTGACCAAACTCACAAAAGCCTGATGTATAAGCCCGGGGCCAGTGATTCTACCTGCCATGGAATAAGCAGAGAAGAGCATGGCTCTGGACCTGTAGTGGCTGGTGTGAATCCTGCCTCCATCACTCACTAGCTGTGTGATTTTGTGTAAGTTTTTCACCTCTCCAAGCTTAAGTTTCCACATCTGTGAAATAGCAACAGAATTTTCAATACATATTAATTCTCTTTGTGACTACCATTTGCAAATTATTTACTCTGTGCCAGCCATACTGCTAAGTGCATGCATGCTGCCATTTTATCCTCACAGATCCCTAGGAGGAGGAGTTCATTGTATCTTCATATTGCTAATGAGGAGACTGAGGCACAGCAAAGTGAATCGGCAGGACAGAAGTGGAAGAGCAGGGGCTTACACCAAGTCTTCTGACTCCAAAATCAGTGCTCTCAGTCTTCTGACTCCAAAATCAGTGCTCTCAGTCTCTATAGCCTTTTTATGGGACCAGAATATTCTTGTTTGCCCTACAAGGCTCTGCCTGGTACCTGGATGCCCATTTGGTTTCAGTGAAGGCCCAGCAGGGCAGTGAACCAGCTGGAGTTCACCGAGCCCCCTCACTGCTCCTCAGTAGAGACCAGAGCCTCCTGAGCCTGGAATCCCTGTGTCTACTGGTGCCTTCCTTGTCTCTCCCTCCGAAACAGCTAAATGAATTCTCCCTTGCACCCCATTTTCTGTGCAGCCTTCTGTTCCCTTCAGATAGAGCACAATGCAATTGATTAGGCTTCTGCTGTCTCAATTTCAATCACATCCTCGCCCTGCCTCCCTGAGATTACAGGCGGGTCACCTTGATTGCGGTTTGCACCGTTCACAAAACTCTTCAGTCGCTTACAAAACCATCTCTCGCCTCATTCACTCCCCCACCTGGCTCTTCTCCTCTGTGATGCGTGGATTTTACTGGCTTAAGACTCAGAGGGCAATTTTACTTCCAAGTTCATCGTGGGGGAGGAGGACACCTAATTGACTAATGCTGGGTATTTCACATCCATCGTCTAATTTGATCCTCACCACAAAGCAGCACAGAATTGTGATTATCCCCATTTTACAAAAGAGGAAACAAGACTCTGAGAGGCTACAACACGGGCTCAAGGTCATATAGGCGGATGGTAGAGCCAGGATTTGAACTCAAAGTCTCATGTGTTCCCCTGGGTCACATTTCTTTATTTGAAGGAGCAGCATGGGAACATGTGATATTGACCCAGAGTCAGGTCCAAGAAGGGCCTGGTGCACATAGGGTTCTGGGGTAGCTCCATACATGCTGACAATTGTACTGATAAAAGAATTAAGTCATTTATTAATTTCATACACATCTACTGATGTCTCCTGTAGGCTGGTCCTGTCTAGGAGGCAGAACAGTAAACAATGACAACACTTAAGGGCAAGGTCAGTCTGGGAACCAAGTCTGGGGGATTTCTTGGAGTCTGTGAAATAAAAGTCTGCCTGATGAAGCAGCCACAGGGTGAGGTCATCTCCAGCAGAGGGAACAGCATGTGCAAAGGCTCAGAGGTATGGCAGAGTAAGGCCCACTCAAGCCAGGCAAGTGCCAATAATTAGGCATGGGACGGCTGACGGTACAGATGAGGCAAGAAAGAATAGGGATGGAGAGTCAGAGGCAAGAAGTAGGAGGGGGAAGACCAAGGGGTATGGCCCCTGAGCTGTGGGAAAAAGAAAGAAGAAACCTGGGGGACCCAGGACTCATTGTGGGGAATGGGCGCGCGCGCACACACACACCCACACCCACACACACACACCCACACACACACACCCCCACACACACAGAGCCTGGATGGTCCTGCAGTGATGTTCACACTCCCTCTAGTGGTGACTTTGGGTACTACATTCAAAACTGCAGGAAACTTTCCCCTGGGATGGGAGAACCAGGTCTCCTCGGAAAATTCCCATCGCAGAACAGGAGATACCGCACAGTTCCTGCTCTCAAAGAGGTCACAGTTTAATGATGATGGGTGTTAATGGGACAGATGCAGGCAGAAAATGACAATAAAGCTATGTGGGAGAACAGGGGAGAGTCCTAACTCAATTGGGCAGGGGGAAGTCTGGAAGGTTTCTCAGAGGAGGTGATGCTTCATCAGATGCAAGAGTAAGAGTTTGCTTGGTAAAGAAAAAAGCAACAGACGGGCATCCTGGACAGAATTAAGTAAGCTCAAGGGCAAGAAATGGGACTGCTCAGGGAGTTACAATTAGGTAGGTGTGCTGGGAGTATGAAATGTCAGAGGGGTTAGTGGCTAAAAATAAAGATGGCCAAGGCAGGCATGCATCTTTTCTGCCATGCACTCAAGCTGGGATCCTAAGCCTTAGGCAATGGGAAGCGACTGAAAGGTTTTGAGCAGGGTAGTAGCAGGGTCAGATTCACCTTTTTTTTTGAGACCAAGTCTCACTCTGTCACCCAGGCTGGAGTACAGTGGTGCGATCTTGGCTGACTGCAACCTTGCCTCCTGGGTTCGAGTGATTCTGCCTCAGCCTCCCAAGTAGCTGGGACTACAGGCGAGAGCCACCACTCCCAGCTAATTTTTGTATGTTTAGTAGAGACAGGGCTTCACCATATTGGCCAGGATTGTCTCGAGTTCCTGATCCCAAGTGATCTGACCACCTCAGCCTCCCAAAGTGCTGGGATTATAGGCGTGAGCCACCACGCCCAGCCAGATTCACTTTTCAGAAGGAACCCTTGGGTGACAATGGGGAGGAAAGATGGGAGGGGAAGAGGCAGGAGAGGGACAGCCCTCTTGGACACAAAGAACCATACCAGGTCACACTCACAGAAGGATACACAGCTTTGACTGCGCCTATGAAGCAGACATATTGATACAAGCAATGGCACCTACAGACATGTCAGTGGGATCCCAGGCTGAGCGCCCACAGATAATCATGTACTGTTTCACAGTCAGACACAGAAGTCAGGTCCGCCAGTGAAAAGCTAACTGAGGACACACAGTTACCCCCCAGACACAGGCGCACAGCGGGAACCACACAACGCTGATGGACACAGGAATTCACACACACGCAGTGTGGCTGTCAAGGGCCCCGACCCTACCCCCCTCTGTCTTCCCCAGGTCTCTCACCACCTCCGGCAGGAACAAAGCTGACCTTTGCCCTCTGGCCTCTGGCCTCTCCTCCCACACCCCCTGCCCCAGAGGGAGGAGCTGTTTGAAGTCTGGGCTGCAGCTGGGGTTTCCTGTGGCCTAGAGGAATGTGGGCGGACTTTCACAGGGGAGGGGAAAGGGGCTGGCCCAGGAGGAGGGCTAACAGGGCCTGGGGGCCTTAGTCCCCACTGTACCACAACAAGGGGGGCTTCCTGCATCCACAGTCTCTAGGGCTCCAGCTTTGAGCTGTTCCCACCCAAAGAAGGGGAAAACCAGGCCATAATGGCTGCAGTCCAATAGGCCTCTTGTTCCTGGATCTGTAGCTCAATGGCTTAGAATAGGCCTGCCACCTCTGTAGGCCTCAGTCTCCCCTTCTGCGGACTGGGCTGAACCACTCTCTGGCAGTCCACACCCCCCCGAGTCGGCCCAGGAGGAGAACCAGCCCCAGGAA